ATTTATTTTTTCCTTTTCTCCTTCTTCTTTGATTATCAAAAAGAAAAGCGGCCTTTCAAGTCTAATTGTAGCTTTCGGCAAGTCGTAGTTATCCTTTGGCAAAAAATGGAACGAATCTACACTTATGCTCTTTAAGGTAAGAGTTCAACGTTCTTGTGGCGTGGAAAGCCCATATTTGTACGACATCGAACTCCCGAACAAATTGAGGCGTCAGAGGCGGTTGAATTGAACAAACTAAAAGATCCAGAATACGATCATCAGCGTGTCAAGCGGCCAGAGTGGCTGGTCGTGTTTGCCAGCTGTACCCATCTTGGCTGCGTTCCAGTGTGTAAGTTTTCAGACTGCTGCATTTTTTGATATCACTTGTAATCTCATTGTTTTTTACAGCGAACGCTGGGCAGTACGGCGGCTATTTCTGTCCTTGCCATGGGTCACATTTCGACCTTTCTGGCAGAATCCGACGTGGACCGGCGCCGACCAACCTTGGGGTGCCACCTTATTACTTTGTTGGTGACGATACGGTCCGCATCGGGAAGTCAGAATGATCTGTTGCCTGAAGAACAATGCTTTTTGAAAATTATTTGTATCTACTGTTCGTACCTGCGCATTGTTCATACGAAAGAAACGCGGTTTGGTCGAACAGGTTTAGAGGCTTATTTAAAGACTTTGGCTCTTTTTGGCTGTTTCTTATAGAATAAGTTTTTGCAGTATATAAAACTTTTTCTTTTCGTTTTTTGTATTTAACTGCGACCAGCGTCATCACCGTCATTAGCATCTGTCTATGTTCTTCGCAATGGTTGTTAATTTTTTATGGGGAAAATTTTTTGTTTTGTTCACAGAATCCAGCAGTCGGAATTTCCCGCGAAGATGGCAGAGGTGAGTTATGTCTACTCGTATATATCATATGCACGGCTTACGATTGAAAATAATTTCAATTTTATTTAAGACTGCTTTTATTCTTAATCTGAAATAATCTTGTTTTTGATGTACCTGATGCTCTGTTCTTCTATTGCCAGTTTGTGCCTTGCTAAGCATCGGTCACATATTTCACTCTCTGTTCCACAATAAGAACCATCTAGAGTTTTAATGTTGCACTTAAAATCATACTTTCCTATGATTTTGGTTTTAAGGTTATAAATGGCTTTTTTCAGCTAGATGTATACTGACAGTTATGTCAGCTTTTGATAGTAGATTATAGATAAGCCTCTGGGGTGAAGTTAAGCCGCATATTTTTGCCACGTTTTTTATTATATATGCAAACAATTGTCCGTAGTCTTTAGCTGCGAGTTGGCCGTCACACAGTAGTTATAGAAAGTTACTTTCGAGGCAAGAAAAGCACTTTTTGCTATTTGCTAAGGCTGCGTTAGCCGAGGTTAGGTTCTCTGATAAGTTTCTGTAGCGTATTCTAGCCATACAGGATTTTTGAACGTTGAATACACTGTCTGACGTGTCTATCCGAAAAGATAAGCGATCATCGAAAATGACTCATTGACGAAGGGGAAGATTTAAGAACTATAATTTATTGCTTAGTGGGGAGAAGGGAATTAATGAATCTACGAGAGAAACACGGAGCGGAAGAATTATCGATTAAAGAAGATGCGACGGAGTCGTTTGGGAACCAAACGAAACTTCAGAACAGTTCATAGTAATTAGCAACGCGAGGAAGCAGTTTATGGGACTAGTATTAGGGAGAGAAAAGTGTAAAGCGTTCATTGATAAATTAAATAAGGAAGCGCATAAATGGAAATGAGGACGGTGAAAGAATGGAGGCAGAATGTGATTAACGAAGATTAGTTGAAAGCAGAAAATGGGAATTAAGGAACAGAAATGCGGACAAGAAAAACAAAATGAGGAACTGAATTGTATGAACAGAATTTATCTTTAAATTGTTATATCGTATTGTACGATTATCTGTTTATGGTCACGTGCATAATTGACTGAGACAGATGTGAAAAAAATGTAGCGTGGTTTTTTTTGTTTTCACTTGTTTTTCCATGTTTGTCTTTTACGTAGGCTCATTACTTTAACAAATTTATGTCACGACTTTGGATTCTGGTAAACTGGTTCGAAGAAAATATAAGGGCATGTCTATCGCAGAATCGTAATGTTAACGTTGTTCAGTCGTTTTATCTACATCTTTCAGTTCTTCTGCCTGATCTTTAGCGTTTCTGAGCCATACCGATTCAATCCGTTTCTTTCCACCAAATTACTGAATTGAAAAAATAGTTGATTTACCGCAGTTTGTTAATTCAATAATTACCCCCGTAGATTTATAAAAAATAATATCGTAATCCAGATCTTTCGATTTCCAGATCCTTTTTAGATTTCAGTTATATGTACTTTCATCCAGTTATTTCCAGCAAAGTTTGGTATATATCTCTCTACTCTTGTTTAGTTTGCGTGTTTGAGCACGCAGCGTTTGTGGTTGGTAAATATAGTTGACCGGCATGGAGAAATAAATCTTTGTACAACGAATATAATCACAGGGTTATTAGAAAAGTCGTTTGATGAAGTTTACGTTGATTTCTTATCTGGAGAATCATGTAATTTGACTGTCAAATATTATCACAACTATTAATATTAACAATAAGACATTATCAGATTTCAAAGCCGTTGGCATCAGGTTCAAATTTACGTTCGAAATGGAGAGGTATATTCAAAATGGGTTCATCCGTAATAAGGACTTGAAGAATCAAAAATTTATCTCAATCAACGTTGTGCCCCTGGTTAGCGTTTACGGATCGTTCTCAATTAAAGATGACGAGGTATTTCAGCCATTCAGGACATCAATGTTGGTATTTTATTTTTGAACCGTAAAGAAGAGGGCAGTTGCCAGACTTGGCAAGGCGTCCTCTGTACACTTCGATAATGAATTATATGACCTCATATTATAGTGTTACTGTATTACCAGTTAAGTGTCATACGTATTGAAGGCGACGTTGAATGACGTGACAATTTAATACTTCCTGTTTTCTTCCCACATGAGAAGAAATTTGGCCTGAATTCACATTAAGTTGTTTAGATTGCAAGTCCCAACGTTTATCCACTGAGCTTCCCGGGTGGTTCATCAGGGAATCTCGATGGCGCAGGTTTCTTTATTTTTCTATGCTGGTAGGGTTTAATAAAGTTGATCAATTGGTACTCAACTCAGTAAGTGGTTAATACTTTATGGCGCTTCCAGAAACACAGTTCTTTCACACGGTTAGCTCTGTAGAACATTCTGGCGTGATAAATTTGCTTTCTAATACTTCTGCACTGCATTCCTTCCACAGTTCGACAAATCGTAACTTAAGTTAGGAAACGTCGCCTGC